ATTTTGTGTGTGGACTTTTTCATGGGTTTTTACAATAGAGGTCTCATACAATGTTTGTCTTTTTGTGATTGACTTATTTCACTCAGCATCCACCTTCTTTTGATACTTCCTGCGTCATTCAGTATTTTGCCCACAGAATCCCTCAAAATTGCAACTTGAGGCTTGAATTTTTTCTTCAGTTCTTTCAGCTTGAGAAATGCTGAGCATGTTCTTCCCTTTTGGTTTTCTAACTGCAGGTCTTTGCAGGTTTTATTATAATACTCTGTGTTCTCGAGTTGCCCTTCAAAATCTTCTGTTCAGCTCTTTTCCTTCATTATTTCTCCCCTTTGCTTTAGCTACTCGATATTCAAGAACAAGTTTCAGAGTCTTTTCTGACATCCATTTTGGTTTTTTCTTTCTTTCCTGTCTTTTTAATGACCTTTTACTCTCTTCATGTATAATATAGTTGATTTCATTCCACAACTCAACTGATCTTCAGTCATTAGCATTCAGTGTGTCAAATCTGTTCTTGAGATGGTCTCCAAATTCAGGTGGGATATACTCAAGATTGTGTTTTGGCTCTCGTGGACTTGTTTTAGTTTTCTTTGGCTTCAACTTGAATTTGCATATGAGCAATCGATGATCTGTTCCGCAATCGGCACCTGGTCTTGTTCTCACTTACAATTTTGAGCTTTTCCATTGTCTCTTTCCACAGATACAATCAATTTGATTCCTGTGTTTTCCAGCCAGTGAGGTCCATGTGTATAGTCACCGTTTATGTTGTCGAGAAAAGGTATTTGCAGTGAATAAGTCATTGGTCTTGCGGAATTCTATCATGTGAACTCTGGGATTGTTTCTATCACCAAGGCCATATTTTCCAGCTACCGATCCTTCTTTGTTTCCAACTTTTGTATTCCAATCGTCAATGCATCATGATTGCATGTTTGACCAATTTCGGACCACAGAAGTTCTTTAAAATTGTCAGTTTTCTCATCTTTGGCATTAGTGGTTGGTGTGTAAATTTGAATAGTAGTCATACTAACTCGTCTTCCTTGTAGGAGTATGGATATCATCCTGTCACTGACAGTGCTGTACTTCAAAATAGATCTTGAAATGTTACTTTCACAATGAATGTGATGCCATTCCTCTTCAGTTTGTCATTCCCAGTATAGTAGACCATATGATTGTCTGATTCAAAATGACCAGTACCAGTCCATTTCAGCTCACTAATGCCAAGGATATCCATCTTTATGCGTTACATTTCATTTTTGACAACTTACAATTTTCCTAGATTCATACTTCATACAATCCACATTCCGATTATTAATGGATCTTTGCAGCTGTTTCTTCTTATTTTGAATCGTGCCATATCAGCAAATGAAGGTCCCGAAAACTTGACTCCATCCACATCATTAAGGTCCACTCTACTTTGAGGGGGAAGCTCTTTCCCAGTCATGTTTTGAGTGCCTTCCAGCCTGAGGGGCTCATCTTCTGGCAGTGTATCAGACAACGTTCTGCTGCTATTCGTAAGGTTTTCACTGGCCAGTATTTTCAGAAGTAAGACCACCAGGTCCTTCTTCCTAGCCTGTCTTTGTCTGGAAGCTCCACTAAAACCTATCTACCATGGGTGACCCTGCTGATAATTTGAAATACCAGTGGGATAGCTTCCAGTATCACAGCAATACCCAAGCCGCCACAGTACAACAAACTGACAGATTCGTGGTGGAGTATATAGTCAAAATACTCTGTCTAGAGTTATTTGGGTGGGTTCTTCTCCCCCTTCATTGTGGTGTTATCCATTTAAACTATAGTTAGGTTCATTTTTTTCTGTTTGTGTTCTTTTTAGGGCCCCACCCCATCCTTGTTGATTTTATTTTATTTAGGGGGGCATATGTGAAGCATTAACATAGTTACAAAAGTAAAACTATATATAACATTCTCAGAGATATGTAACTCTCCCAGCCCAACCCCATCCTTCCTAGTCCCACCTACCAGCCCCCAGGGGTAATCAGTCTCAGGAGTTTTGGATTTATCCCTTCTGTGGTTTTGGGGGGTGTGTGTGTGTCTGTGTGTCTGTGTGTGTGTCTGTGTGTGTGTGTGTGTGTGTGTGTGTGTGAGTGAGAGAGAGAAAATAAACTGATACATGTGTTTTTTCCTTTCTTAAACACAAAAGGTAGCAATATACATACGTATTCTGGAAATCGCCATATTAGTTCATAGAGAGCTTCCTCATTCTTATAGCTAGAGCACTCTATTATGTGGATGTACTATGGTTTATTCACATATAGTCATTTAGATCGTTTATAGCTTTTTTCAGTTACAGGCCACGCTGCAATAAACAATCATGCTTGTATGTTTTTGTATTATTGGAAATATATCTTCATGGGAAATTCCTAGAAGTGAGATAAAAGGTAAACACATACGTAGTTTTCTTTTTTTTTTAGATAATGCCAAACTCTCTTCCATAAGGTTTGTATCAGATTATCACCAGCAGTGTATGAGACTGCCTGTTCCCCACAGCCTTGCCAGAACAGTGTGTTGTTATGGTTTGAATGTTGGCCAGTCTGATAGGTGAGAAATAGCATCTTATTAGGGTTTGGATTTGCATTTATTTTATTATGAGTGAAATTAAACAACTTTTAGGGCTATATATATGTGTATGTGTGTATATATATATATATATATATACATTTTTTTTTAATAAACCAGGATTTTGATTTATTAGATCCATGGTTGCTTTTTTCTCTAGCTCATTAATTTTTATATTTATCTTTATTACTTTCTTCCTTGGGCTTTTGTTGTTTTTGTTTTGACTTAATTTGTCCTTTTTATAACTTTCAGTTGAAAATTTAATTCACTTATTTTTTTTTTTCTCATTTTTATCAATAGTGTTTAGGCTATGAATTTTCCTCTGATCACTGCACTAAAAGTATCTTGTAGATTCTGATATGGTGTGTTTTTATGATCATTATGTTTTACAAATTCTATAATTTCAGTTTGCATCTCTCCCTTAAGAGGTTGTTAATAGAAGCCTTTAAAAATGTCCAGGTAGCAGCAGGAAAGAGGTTAAATGTTAAAGTTGTGATTAAAGCGTTAGGCTTCAATTACAGTATTTGGAAAATTCTTTTATATGGAAAAATACTCAGTTTGAGAGTACACAGGCTTGAGCCAGCAGTGGATTGGAATCCTAACTTTGCCACCTTTGGAGCAAGGGACCCTGGCTGATTGATTCACTGTGCGCTTGTCTTTAAAACAGGGATAGTGATAGACTCCACTTCATAGGGTGGTGGTGAGGTGAATAGAAACGGCACTTGTCAAGTTCCTGGGTCATGCCATCACTCAGTAAATAGCAGTGAAAAGTATTCATTAGTCTCCATCACAACTCAATAGAATATTACAGAAAAGCATGATGGTATTTATACAAACGGAAATGTGGCTTGTGCTCTTTCCTTTGTTAGTCGGCGTGCACAGTGTTATGAAGCATGATGCCATCATGGATGGAGCCAGCGCAGATTATATGCTGGTGGAGGCCGAGGCCACGCGAGTGGCCCAGGACGCCTTGAAAACACTGAGGCTGTCTCGTCAGCAGTGTCTGGGAGCAGCATCCGGAGTGCCCACCTGGACAGGCCAGCGGGGGATTTCTGGTGCGCCAGCGGGAGTAAAGTAAGAGATTGCTACCCCGGTGCCTGTGAGAAGGCCAGATGTTCATGCTTGAGATAGAGTCGAGGCAGGTGTGGCTGCCTACCCTCGAGTATCTAAAGCCTAGAAAAATCCTCAGGGAGGATTGTGAGCTGAGCTTTAATCAGCCCGATGTGGACGAGCCAGGGAAGTAGAAGATGGTGTCATTAAAAATAGAGATAGAGAATAATCATTAAACTTTAATAAGACAATTAGCCAGTTTACAACAATCAATAATTACTCTGGTTTTCAGTATGCCCTTTTAGAGTAATCTTTCTACCTAGGATTTGAGGGTGATTTCCATCACATGTTGAGTGAGGACATGGAGTGGTTGTCACTCCCCGAGATGCAGCGGTTATTTCCAAGGAGAGTAAAGGGGAAGAATCTAAAGAGCTAGGACGGAAAGGCCATGGCTAGGAAAGAAGAAGCTCGTGGATGAAAGTTTTTCCAGGACGAGTTTAGTTGTTGAAAGGTTGTTTTGATCTCTTAAGTCACAGAAGCAAACATGAACATTGTATCTGCTGTAATTCTCCTTATGTAGGAGCAGATTTGGTCAGAAGAGGAAGTCTAACTTCTCTGTCCAGCGTCCTTCTTCACCGTCTCTAAAAGAGAAATGCCAGGTAATATGGTAGCCGTGTGTGTTTGCATGAGTGAGACCTGCTTGATTGAAATGCCTTGAAATTTTACCTGATTCCCGCTGTCACAGGAGCATGGTTGTCAATGGCATAGCGACACCCTGATATATTGGTGTATGCTCTGAGTTAGGAAGCACTTCCACGTGAATCTAAGAGGACCAGCTAACTTCCTTAAAGATAAAGTCTTTAATCCAAGATACGTAGGTGATGTGGGTCGCTGCCAGTGCAGCGTGCCATGACCAGAGGTGAAGTGCCAGCATCAGAGACGATACGCTCTGTAGAATGAAGACCCAGAAAACCACCTTGAATGTCGTCACCCATAATTTTGTAGTAGCTGGAGCAGTGCCTTCCTCTGTTCCACAGCACCCTGCACACCTTTAGTGCTCCAGCGAGGGCCAGCGCTCCCCCGAGGGCCAGTGCTCCCGCAAGCAGCAGTGCTCCTGAACCTGGCCCAGTAGGCAGAGCCTCATCATTTAAGAGTCTCCTTGGTCTTTTCTGCCTAGGGTTTATGTTAGTGATAAAAAAAACTACCAGAATCTAATCTTAGATCAATATGAGCACATTTAGGAATAGAGAACCTCTTTGACTTCTATATTCTTTTAGGAGAAGGGTTTGAGACCTTTTCAGGGTCAGATTTGTGTTGTTCTAAGGAAACATCTATGAAGCATAGGTAAGAAAGAGTGAGAAGTTTTAAAAGCGAGGTAGAGTAAGTACAGCCAGGCTGTTGTGCCTTCCTCCATGGTGCCTAGGTTAGCACAGCGCCATCAGGAGGAAAGATGGAGAAGAGCACAGAGACAGGAGGTGGTCTGTGCTTCCCGGAGAGTCTGTCCTCCCTGGACCCTTGCTTGGAGCCAGGCCTACCTACTTCTCTGTCTTCCCTTCAAAATGATGATGAAGTGAATATTTTAGTTTTTCCTTTTTTTTTTAGGTAAATGTTCTTTTATGATTAGTGGATTTTAGTTCTTAGTTCTCCTTCTTTCCCTTGTATTAGATGGATTCTCATTCCTTTCTCCGTTAGCTTCACTACCCTGACCACATGTATATATTTCATGGCATTTCAAAGCCTTTGGGGAAGTAATTGGGGGCATAAATTAGAAATTAAACATATCAGTACCACTATCTTCTTTTTCCAGGATGGCGCTATGAAGAAGGAGAAAAAAGATAATGTTCCCGAGCATTTTAGTGGAAAAGCAGAGGATGCAGACGCTCTGTCCGGGGCTCCCACTTCATCATCACTCTTGGCTAAAATGAGAGCTAGAAACCACCTGATTTTGCCAGAGCGTTTGGAAAGTGAAAATGTGTCTCTTCCTGAGGCTTCTGCCCCTCAGCCCTCTGCCACAGAACATGATGACCTTTTGGTAGAAATGAGAAACTTCATTGCATTTCAGGCCCGTGTTGATGGCCAGGCCAGCACCCAGGAGATCCTGCAGGAGTTTGAGTCCAAGTTATCAGCATCACAGTCTTGTGTGTTTCGAGAACTATTGAGAAATCTTTGCACTTTTCATAGAACTTCAGGTGGTGAAGGAATTTGGAAACTTAAGCCAGAGTACTGCTGATTAACATTCCTTTCTAAAACTTCTGGTTGACTTTTTATAATGGAAGTTTCTAATTATTAATCTTGTGATTTCATGTTTTTGGCAATGGAAGTTGGCTGCACTTGATGTTTCCTCTGAGCGATGACTACCTCATAATTAAAACTTTAAGGAAGAAGAAACTCTCCCCCAAAACTTAGAAGTTTGAATAATGTTAAGTAAAGTAGAAAATTCTTGAATTGATTTTTTTCTTTCTTTTTTTTTTTTTCCACTATGAATTATGTCAAAAATTAGGGACCTAACAGTTACTCTTTGGAACACATTTGTTCTTCACCTAAAAGAGGTGATCAGGGAGCACATTGCTGCTCTTTCACAAGTTAGTAAAACAGAGAAGTCTCAAGAATTTTGTTTATACTGGTGCTAAAGAACATGTCTTATATTCAGTCAGATCTGTTCGGCAATATCTGATAGAAGCATTATTTTGATGTATAAGTTTTAAATGTTTAAATTTATTGTTTGCCACTAAGGAAAGGATCAGATCTGATTATACTAATTGCCTTTAAACGACCCTCCTTGTAAGGTACTGTTCAACTGACAGATCTCATTAGTAACAAACAAAGTAGCTTGGTCATAAATGGCAAGACACGTGTTTGGCAGAAAGTACTCAGTTTACACTGGCTTTACTTTAAGCAAAGGGTGTCTTTTCCCCCTGTAGTCACTGTTGGTTTTAGGAAAAAGAAATGAGTTATAAAAAAAAAATTCAAACAGAACCAAAAAGTACAAATAAAACAACCACCACACACACACTAACATCACTCCAGAACTCACAGCCCAGACGTAACCATCGTTACCATGGGGTGACTGGCATCCCTCTCCTCTGTGTTTAAATGCTGATAGATACCTTTGAAATTTTTCTGTTTATTCGTTGAGCTTACTTTGCTAAGGATGCTGATTATTTTATATTAGAGCATCATTGTTCTCCTTACCTGTGGTCTTCCTTCTAACTGCTTTCTTCTCTTTTTCCTTTCATTCACTGTGACCCTTTCCTGTGTTAGTGGTTTGATTTTCGGTTCATTTCTGGATGTTGCTTGTGTGTGTATAGTTCTGTGATGGTGGTGTTTTGATCTTCAGTTTTCTTAGTCTTGCTTTGCTGATTTCCTTCCTACTGCTATTTTATCATCTCATCCTTGAAGTCTTGTTTCCTTGAATTCATTGTACTCCTTAAATTTCCATAGCAGTCATACACATTTTGTTTGTTTCTTGGATTATGTTTTCTCTTGCTTACTATCCTTTTTTCTGTATTACATTTGCCTTCCTGTCATGTCGTTTCTTTATATCTTGCTCATTCTTAAAGTGGGCAGCTGTGTTCAGATCTTCCGATTGCTCTTCTCTGAGACCGGACAGAAGGGCCTGGGGTGGGATGAGGAGGAGTTGCCACGCGGTTGCCTGTGCTGGGGATGGAGGGCTTGGGGTTTGCTTTTTCTGTTCTGAGATTTTGTTAAATCGTTTGTGCCAAGAATCACTCCCTTTAGACAAGATACGGCCTAGTCAGGAGTCAAGATTCCCACCAGAATATTCTGTTTCTTTTTTTAGATTCTGGCTTGTTCTTTTTTCTTTTTCCTCTCTCTTTTAGTTGGATTCTTTTAATATTACGGGAGGAAACTATTTTTCTCTATTCTTCTGTCATTATCTAGAAGTCATGGAAGGGTTTTTTTTTTTTTTCCTTTTTTTTTTTGGTGTGTGTGTGTGTGTGTGCTCTAAGTGAAAGTTTACAATTCAAGTCAGTTTCTCATACAAAAATCTATACACCCATTGCTATGTGACCCTAGTTGCTCTCTCTATTCTGTGACAGCACACTTCTCCTTTTCGCCCCGGATTTCCCGTGTCCATTCAACCACCTCCTGACCCTCTCTGCCTACTCGTCTTGCCTATGGACTGGAACTGACCATTTAGTCTCATGTATCTACTTGAGCTAAGAGGCACATTGTTCACGTATATCATTTTATGTCCCACAGTCCAGTCTAATCTTTGTCTGAAGAGTTGACCTCGGGAATGTTTTCAACTCTGGGCCAACAGAGTCCGGGAACCATGTCTTCTGGGGTCCCTCCAGTCTCAGTCAAACCATTAAGTCTGGTCTTTTTACTAGAATTTGAGTTCTGCACCCCACTTTTCTCCTCCGTCAGGGACTCTCTGTTATGTTCCCTGTCATGGTGATCAGTGGTGGTAGCCAGGCACCATCTAGTTCTTCTGGTCTCAGGCTGATGGAGTCTCTGGTTTATGTGGCCCTTTCTGTCTCTTGGGCTAATATTTTCCGTGTGTCTTTGGTGTTCTTCATTCTCCTTTACTCCAGGTGAGTTGGGACCAATTGATGCATCTTAGATGGCGGTTCGCTAGCTTTTAAGACCCCAGACACCACTCGCCAAAGTGAGATGCAGAACATATTCTTAATAAACTTTGTTATGCCAGTTGACCTAGGTGTCCTCTGAAAGTGTGGTCCCCAGACCCCCACGCCTGCTACTCTGTCCCTCGAAGTGTTTGGTTGTATTCAGGAAACTTCTTAGCTTTTGGTTTAGTCCAGTTGTGCTGACTTCCCCTGTACTGTGTGTTGTCCTTCCCTTCACCTAAGATACTTCTTGTCTATTATCTAGTTAGTGAATATGCCTCTCCCTCCTTCCCCACCTTAGTAACCATCAAAGAATGCTTTCTTCTGTGTTTAAACCTTTTCTTGAGTTCTTATAATAGTGGTCTTATACAATATTTGCCCTTTTGCGACTGACTAAATTCACTCAGCATGATGCCTTTCAGATTCCTCCATGTTATGTTTCACGGATTCATCGTTGTTCCTTTTCGTTGTGTAGTATTCCGTTGTGTGAATATACCATAATTTGTTTATCCATTCATCCGTTGATGGGCACCTAGATTGTTTCTGTCTTTCTGCCATCATGAACAGTGCTGCAGTGAACATGTATGTGCATGTATCTATTTGTGTAATGGCTCTTATTTCTCTAGGATATATTCCAAGGAGTGGGATTGCTGGATCATATGGTACTTCCATTTCTAGCTTTTTAAGGAAGTGCCAAATCAATTTCCAAAGTGGTTGTACCATTTTACATTCCCACCAACAGCGTATAAGTGTTCCAGTCTCTCCACAACCTATCCAGCATTTATTTTGCGTTTTTTGGATCAATGTTAGCCTTGTTGGGGTGAGATGGTATCTCATTGTAGTTTTAATTTGCATTTCTCTAATGGCTAATGATCGTGAGCGTTTCCTCGTGTCTGTTAGCTTCCTGAATGTCTTCTTTGGTGAAGTGCCTGTTCATATCCTTTGCCCATTTATTAATTGGGTTGTTTGTCTTTTTGTTGTTGAAGTTTTGCAGTATCTGGTAGATTTTAGAGATTAAACACTGATCTGATTAGTCATAGCCAAAAATTTTTTCCAAGTCTGTAGGTTGTCTTTTGACTTTTCTGGTGAAATCTTTTGATGAGCATAAGTGTTTGATTTATTAGGAGCTCTCCCAGTTACCTAATTTCTGGTGCTTGTGCATTGTTACTTACAGTTTGTATAATGTTTGTCTATGTATTAGGGCTCCTAGCGTTGTCCCTATTTTTGATTCCATGATCTTTATCATTTTAGATTTTATATTTAGGTCTTTGATCCATTTTGAGTTAGTTTTTGTACATGGTGTGAGGCATGGGTCTTGTTTCAGTTTTTTGCAGATGGATATCCAGTTATGCCAGCACCATTGGTTAAAGAGACTGTCTTTTTGCCAATTAACAGAATTTGGGTCTTTGTCGAATATCAGCTGTTCATAGGTGGATGAATTTATGTCTGGATTCTCAATTCTGTTCCTTTGGTCTAGTTATTTATTGTTGTACCAGAACCAGACTGTTTTGACTACCATGGCAGTATAATAGGTTCTAAAATCAGGTAGTGTGAGGCCTCCCACTTCGTTGTTCTTCTTGAGTAATGCTTTACCTACCTGGGGCCTCTTCCCTTTCCACATGAAGTTGGTGATTTGTTTCTCCATCTCATTAAAAAATACCATAAGAATTTGGATTGGGATTGTATTGTATCTGTAGATTGCTTTGGGAAGAATTGACGTTTTCACAGTGTTGAGTCTTTCTGTCCATGAGCAAGGTATGTTTTTCCACTTATGCAGGTCTCTCTTGGTTTTTTGTAGTAGCGTCTTGTAGTTTTCATCGTATAGGTCTTTTACGTCTCTGGTTAGATTTATTCCGAAGTATTTTATCTTCTTGTGGGCTGTTGTAAATGGTATTGATTTGGTGATTTCCTCTTTGAAGTTCTCTTTGTTGGTGTAGAGGAATTCAACTGATTTTTTTATGTTTATCTTGTATCCTGATACTTTGCGGAAATCTTCTATTAGTTCCAGTAGTTTTCTTGTGGATTCTTTGGGGTTTTCTGTATATAAGATCATGTCATCTGCAAATAGAGATACTTTTACTTCTTCCTTTCCAATTTGGATGCCCTTTATTTCTTTTTCTAGCCTAATTGCTCTGGCTAGGACCTCCAGCACAGTGTTGAGTAAGAGTGGTGATAAAGGATATCCTTGTCTGGTTCCCTTTCTCAAGGGTAATGCTTTCAAAGTCTCTCCATTTAGGATGATGTTGGCTGTTGGCTTTATATAAATGCCCTTAAGTATGTTGAGGAATTTCCCTTCTATTCCTATTTTGCTGAGAATTTTTATCATGAATGGGTGTTGGACTTTGTCAAATGCCTTTTCTGCATCAATTGATAAGATCATGTGGTTCTTGTCTTTTGTTTTATTTATGTGATGGATTACATTGATTGTTTTTCTAATGTTGAACCATCCCTGCATACCTGGTATAAATCCCACTTGATCACGGTGAATTATTTTCTAGAATTTTGTTGAGGATTTTTGTGTCAATGTTCATGAGGGAGATTGGTCTGTAATTTTCTTTTTTTGTGGTATCTTTACCTGGTTTTGGTATCAGCGTTATGCTGGCTTCATAGAATGAGTTTGGAAGTATTCCATCCTTTTCTGTGCTGTGAAATAACCTTTAGTAGTAGTGGTGTTAACTCTTCTCTGGAAGTTTGGAAGAATTCTTCAGTGAATTCGTCAGGGTCAAAGCTTTTTTTTGTTGGAAGTTTTTTTATTACCTCTTCAATCTCTTCTTTTGTTTTGGGTTTATTTAGTTGTTCTACCTCTGTTTGTGTTAGTTTAGGTAGGTAGTGAGTTTCCAGAAATTTGTCCATTTCCTCTAGGTTTTCAGATTTTTTAGAGTACAGTTTTTCATAGTATTCTGTTATGATTCTTTTAATTTCAGTTGGGTCTGTTGTGATATTGCCCATCTCATTTCTTATTCAGGTTATTTGCTTCCTCTCCTGTTTTTCTTTTGTCAGTTTGGCCAGTGGTTTATCGATATTGTTGATCTTTTCAAAGAACCAGCTTTTGGTCTTGTTAACTCTCAATTGTTTTTCTATTTTCTATTGTGTTTAATTCTGCTCTAATTTTTATTATTTACTTTCTTCTGGTGCCGGAGGGCTTCTTTTGCTGCTCTCTTTCTACTTGTTCGAGTTGTAGAGTTAATGTTTTGATTTTGGCCCTTTCTTCTTTCTGGATGTGCGCATTTATTGCTATAAATTGACTTCTGAGTGCTGCCTTTGCTGTGTCCCAAAGGTTCTGGTAGGATGTGTTTTCATTCTCATTTGATTCTGTGAATTTCTTTTTCCATCCTTAATTTCTTCTGTAACCCAGTAGTTTTTCAGCAAGGTGTTGTTCAGTTTCCACGTGTTTAATTTTTTTTCTTTGTTTTTTCTGTCGTTGATTTCTACTTTTATGGCTTTATGGTCAGAAAAGATATTTTGTATTATTTTGATGCTTTGAATTCTGTTAAGACTTGCTTAAAGGCCTAATATGCAGTCTATTCTAGAGAATGTTACATGTGTGTTGGAAAAGAAAGTATACTTGGCTGCTGTTGGATGGAGTGTTCGGTATATGTCTATGTGATCAAGTTGGTTGATTGTGAGATTTAGATCTTCTGTGTCTTTATTGAGCTTCTTCCTGGATGTTCTGTCCTTCACCGAGTGGTGTGATGAAGTCTCCTGCTATTATTGTGGAGCTGTCTATCTCTCTTCAATGCTGTTAGAGTTTATTTTATCTATTTTGGAGCCCTGTCATTGGGTGCGTAAATATTTATTATGGTTATGTCCTCCTGGTGTATTGACCCTTTAATCATTATATAAGAGTCCTTCCTTATCTTTTGTGATAGATTTTAATTTGTCTATATTGTCAGAGATTAATATTGCCACTCCTGCTCTTTTTTGAGTGTTATTTGCTTGATACATTTTTTTCCATCCTTTGAATTTTAGTTTGTTTGTGTCGTTAAGTCTAAGGTGTGTCTCTTGTAGGCAGCATATAAACAGATTGTGTTTTTTTATCCATTCTGCCACTCTCTGTTTCTTTATTGGTGCGTTTAGTCCATTTTCATTCAGCGTAATTATTGATAGTTATGAGTTTAGTGCTGTCATTTTGATGTCTTTTTTGTGTGTGTTGCCAGTTTCTTTGTTCCACTTAATTTTCTGTGCTGAGTCATTTTTATTTTCATCTTTTTCACTGTTAATGATTTTGTGTTTGCTGAGTCTTTATATTTTTCTTGTTTTTTATTTTGATGTATAGGATTGTTAATTTCCTTTGTGGTTACCTTAATATT